AAGTTGCGTTGTAAACACGCGTACTTGTAAGCTGTAACGTTATTATTAGGCCTATACATACGATTGTTAACAACCGGTTCGTGGAGGTCATTAAATTCTAAGAACCGGTGCAAACCGGCTGAATCCCACCACTGCTTACCTCCTCTCGCAGAATAGCTAACTTGATCCCCCAGGCATTTACCTATAACACTTGCATGTCAACAGTTTTAAGTTAGTTACCTCTAAAATTCACATGTTTAACATGAACTGTTCTAGTGCATAATGACATCATTATGCAACAATAGCTCTCCAGCAATAGGAGGGTAACACAACCTCCTTGCTCAATAATTCCCCTTCAGAATTCGAAATAATTTCATTCTTAGACATGGTAAGAAGAAAATGTACTGGAATTGGGGAGGAGAGGTGGGAAGAGGTGAGTATCTGTTGGAAATACATTTTAAGATAAGGAAAACATCTCACATCCTCACACAGAATAGCTAGAATTCCACATTGTAATGGATGGACCAGTGAAAACATTAAACCTAGAAGAGCTCCTTCCAAAAAAATGCCTGATGAAAAAACCCATGGAATGTGACACCTGATGGCAGAAGTTTCATAGGGGCACACCTGTGATAGTTGCATCTCATCTTGGCCAAGGTATACTCTTTGCCCTGAAAGATACTGAGGAAAAGACAAAAGAGCCCTAAGTGTTGCAGGAATAGGTAGAATTTTAACATGACCAACCAAGCACCTGCACAAAAGTTGCTGGCAAGCCAATAAGTGTAGTGTCATTAGGGTGCAATCAGACTGTACAATTTATGGCTCACCTAAATTCAACTGGGCAGACAAAGAAGGGTGATGAGCCTGTCTTGAAGTAGGAGGAGTGCATATTAGTTGTTTAATGGGGTGGCCTGCACTACACAGACAGTGCCACCACTTCCCAACTCCTCACCATAATGTGCTGTAAACAGTCAGTAAGGAATTCTCCAAGGTCCACCACAACAGTGGTTAGGAACTAAGAAAGGGGGGGGAGAATTTATAATGAAGAGATCCAGAAAAGTGCTTGGACCCTATTAAGATGCTTATTGGAAAGATCTTTTACTGTACACAGTGCAATGAGTGATTGAAAAAAACCTAGTTTTAAAAGCTGGCAAGCACATGCCAAAAAAGTGGACAGTCACTAACTGGTGCCAACTTTTTCCATGATAATCCATGAAATAGCACCATCTGGATTAATCAGTTTAGAAATATTAATACCATGAAGATACCTCTAGTCGTCCAGCAGAACATTCCATCTCAACAGTGAGAACCGATCTACCCAGGAACCGACATCCAAGTACTGGTGGGATGAGGGATCTCAACCAGAGGGCCGAACTGCAGTTTGGTGGATCAACTCAAGTTGGTGGTTCATTGAGAGGATCTACACCACTTACACTGGCAGAACACTACTGCTGTACTCTCTACTGAATGGAATTAAGCACATTAAGGAGGAAGCTTCTATGTTCCACCAACTCAATGGTTAGGAATTGGTAAGTGGTAAGGATTTTCATACTCCACTTGTAGAAGAGGAGGAATGAAGTAGGGAGTCCAGAGAAATGTAGAATGCCACACTGAAAACTGTGCAATGGATGATCACAGTAACTATAATTTGAAAAGCAACCATCCCTGATTTATTTAACTGAAGGAATGGCATGAATGGGAAGCTATCGCTTTCTGCTTTACTCATGTTAATCCATGAGTCAGTATGGTCTAAGATGGGCATAAATATGAAGCAAAATACTGCAAGCAGAACCTACAAGCAGTCTCATAGAACACCCCATCTTGACAGTGGGTGTTTTAGGCCTTGTAGTTATGTATATCTTGGCTTGGTATGCCCTTCTAGCAGGGTACCTTAATCAACATCTCAATTGGTACAGCTCCTTGCCATACCAGCCTCTTGGTCTTGATCTGCAGGAGGTGGTATCCCGGGGTTACCCAAACTGTAAATATAATGTTCATGTTATAAGCCATGAAATGCAGATTTTGTGGCTGATAGCTGATAAGAATACCTGGACAGGTACCAATTGCTTCTGAGAAAATACCTATAAGGGGTATGACCATTTAAAGGAAAAATGAAAAGTAAACTCACTGACTTATAGTTGAAATGTTGTGTGTAGAATGGCAACAGGTGGAATGCGATATCTGGATGAGGAAGAAATGACCACATGATTTAGGTAATGAAAGATGTGAATATTTTTGGATATTTTTGAGAGAATTTTACAATTGCTTCAGTATGTTTAGTAGTTAAAAAGAGTTTAATACCAAAGTTATAACAATTTTCTGAGTTCTGAGTGAACATATACATGGAGAAATGGTGTAAGTAAAGACACCTGTATTACGAAATAAGGCCGAGAGCTAGAAAGTACAACTAGCTGGGTCAGTGGCACTGGTAATTACGTCGAGATATCGCCTAGCAACAAAGTAAGTGCATGAGCACCTGTGACAGGTTGTGATGGATTACTGATGCTAACTTGTTAGTACTATGGAAGCTACAAAAAAGTCGATGTTAACAAGCAAAAGTGGTACTTTGATGCCATATTCCTTACAAGACACGAGTGAATTAGTACAAGTGGAAAGGCAACCAGCTAACTCACCATAACAGTAACCGATCACTTGAGAATTTTGGTTATGGTTTTAGACTAGCCCAGGAAGTTGCACAGATCGACCAATAAAGTGGTAGACTATTTGCAGGTAGTGGAACCTGAAGCCTGAGACATAACAGACGAAGTAGTAGTAGTAGTCACGACAGTAGTATTCATGAAACAAAATTCAGAAATTCATAGTTCAACTGTTAGAATTAAAAATAATAATAATCGTTCAAGTTTACTTTCCTTGAAATCCTAATTAAGTTAAACTTATTAACCTAGTTAAGAGAAGTACCAATGTAAAAAAAAATCTAGTTCTTTGAGTAAAAAAAAACACAAGTGTAAAGTCAAAATACACAAGCCAAATTAGAAACATTTGAACACTACACTGCCCAAGTGAGAAGTGAAGGTTAGGTTGATCAGTATAGAGGGAGTAATCCGCACCTGGAGTGTGTGTGGTGCTCCTTTTAGTGGAGGGTTTGTCAAACATACTCATTTGCATGCAAAGATGTAACAAAACCATGTTGAATGTTTGGTAGGTGGGAATTTCAAGGCTATTGGCAAGCAAAAAAATATGCACATATAGAGGACAGCACCAAACGACAGAAACAATTATGTGAGGGAAAATAAGATATCATATCAGAATTTCTCTATTTAATGACTATGCTGAATCCAATTTTTGAGTTCTTTATTCCCACAAAAAACTTATAAAGGTTTAAATTTTAAACCTGTTAAGACAGCTAGTATTCTAAAAACCTTGTTTATGATTGGATGATGTTGTATAATGATCTAGATAAAACTGTTCATTGTTAATCAGTTCAAAATTAACCATTTTGTTTATATGAATGTTTTCTTCTATTAAGAGTTATAAATGATAAATTGCGAAACTATTCTTACTCTTGAAAACATGCATCTAACCACACATTTTACTAAGAAACTGAGCATCCCTTATGAATGAAAATGTTGACTTACAGTTTCAGGATGAACAGAAAAAAACTCAGAGTCCTTAGTTCCTCCTAGCACCCTGTAGTTTACTAAGCCAAAGTTGCCATAGACATTTGAATCTTCATCACTAGCTTCCACTGTAAGTTTACCAGTAATGTTTTTCTCTTCGTCAACCTCAATGGTATAGGTGGCATAAGTAAACTTTGGATCATTATCATTTACATCCCCTATTTCTAGGAAGACCCATGTACTAGTGGATCGGCTAGGAGTTCCACTGTCTGTTGCTGTCACAGTGAAGTTCATAGTCTTGTCCTTTTCATAATCAATTTCTTCCATAACTTTTAGCTCCCCTGATAAACATAGATTAGCTAATTAATGCACTTGTCATCAGAAATTAGTATTAGGCCTATTATGTTTTTAACATTGCATTCCACATCAAAGGCATTAATTTTCGATATATATATATATATATAGCTATTTGCAGTAAAAATAATAGTCTTAACATATGATATTGTTTGGCACTAAACAATTAAAAATAATTCAGGGCAAAAGTTGTATATCTTATTTGTTTAATTCAATTTGTGTAAAACTTTTGAGAGTTTAAATTTTATATCACACACTTTAGTATGGATATAATAACAATGAATTTAATCAGCAGCAGAGTGTCCAAACAGAAAACTCATTTGTAGTGCAATATGTAATTCTCCACAACAATCAACTTAAAAAAAAACAATTAATTTAACTTTAGTGATCAAAAGGAAAAGAAATGCAACTGGACAGTCTTCATACTTTAAGTTAAAGCTAAGAACTCTGTTGTATAACAAAACTTCTATTTTAAAACCTTTCACAAGCAAAAGTATCCTTTCCTATGGTGGGAAAAGTTAATCTATTAATTTAAATTATTTTATGGTCTTTAAAAAGGTTAATTGTGTTGCACTCTTGGTTTCACTCGGAGCCAAAGTTCTGAGCTATTTATACCACCCACCGCAAAAAGTAATTGTTAAGCATTTCAGTCATGCTAAGAGCTGCTTGACAATAACATATGGTAAATCTACATTTTTATTCTTTAAATTATATCACATTTTGAAATGTGAATGATAGTGTGATTAATTACTAACAATTTAGTGTAGAATATCCTGCTTGTGAAATAAAATTTGGCATCAACATTATTCATGCCTGTTTTCCCAACATTTCAAAATTGAGTGTTGAGTTTTGCCTGTGTGTGTACTTTTTCAAACTGGAGACAGATGAATGCTCAGACAGATGCCATGGTTTGCAATATATATAGGATATTGTTAAATATCTCTATAGTTTTGTAATTGTTATAAACATACACAGGTGAGACTTATATCATCTTGGAGTTTATAATGAGTATATACATATTAGTCACCACACACAAATATACATAGCTATTTTTTTTATTCTATGAGCTTAAACTTACTTCTTATGCTGATGTGTCATATTTATGGCATTTACTCTTTTGACAATTGTTAAAATGGATACCTATTACATACTTGAATAATCATTATTCTTGATTTGAAATAAACAAAACTAACATACTGCTTCACCACAAGTAAAGAACTGCTGATTTGAAAATGACACTAGTTATACCTTTAAGGCACTTTTTAGGATCTTTATTTTACATTATCTAAAGTTTCAGAGTAGATGGAGGATTAACCATATTTCGAATTTATGACTTATATGTACAACTATAAAATGCAAGTTAAATCCAACATTTTACATTACGTCTTTTTCAAAAACTCACAGCATCACAAACTGCAAGAGCTGTCTGATATTTAAACTACAGTAATAAAAGATCACAATGATATTATGGTGTAACAAAAAAAAGAGCACAATTACACATAGAAAGAAACTAAACTCAAAAATAAGAAGAAATTAAGCTATATACCTTCTATTTCCAAACACAAACGCATAAACACCATTGTAAGTCTTGTTAATACTATACTGTTGTTTTAAGTGTCTGAGGCTTAAATCCTCACGTAATTCCTTTTTTTCATTGTTACACCATTATTTCATATTGTTCAAATGTTTTTACACTTACTGTCATTTAAACATCAACATAATATTTGTAATTTGTGACACCATAAGATTTTGAGAAAAAAAAAAGATGGATATCAAAACATCAGCCTTAAATATTGTTATATTTTTGGCATTCTATATAATAATTATTTTAAAATATCCATTTTCCACTTTCTAGACGAATTTCTAACAACATAAAACTCTATACGTGGGAAGGACTTTTAGTTCCATATCTTTTTAATACTTTTCAGAATCTTTATTATCTACTTTATTTTTGTACTCCATTAGATTTTTTATTCATGTGATGAACAGTAATCCTCCAGATTAAATCCTATACATCTAAAGACTATTTTCAAATTAATTAAGTTTTAAAGAGTACAAACTGATGTAATGTAATTCATTATATAACAGAACGAGCAATAGTAAATGTTTTAAGACATTTAAACAAAACTTTGTAAAATAGAAAAAAACTTAGAAAGTACAAACTTTTTTAAACTTACCACTTTTTTCTCCCAACTGAAATACTTCTAGATAAGTAGCTTCATTCTCCTTCAGACTGTATGTTATAATATTGTGCTCATCATCGTCCTTGGCAAGTATATTTTTCAGGAATGAGTTTTTTGCACTCCCTTCCCATACAAAAGCTTTGTAGCCGTATATGGTATCATTGTTCACAAAATATGGGTCATTGTCATTTGCATCTATCAGAATAATCTTTAGTCGTAGAGTGTTGCTGTTGCCTGAACCATCATTGTCTTGTGCTTTAATGGTAATGTAAAAATCTGGTACCTTTTCTCTATCAAGTTTATGATCATCAGTTTTTACAGTAAGAATTCCACTAATACGGTCAATAGAAAAGCTGGAATGCATAAACAATGAATTACATAAATAAAAACATTTTTCTTCAAACTTCATTCAGAAGTAATCATGTAAATCCTCCAACCTAAATTTAAATAATAAAATACATTTGTTCATTAAACAACCTATAATCTACTGTAGCTGGAGGTCTAAGACCAAAATTTTATGCATTAAAGTGTATTTTGAATTCATTTAATTGTAATTAACTTATATATATACATATATATATATATATTTATACTTATTTATAGATAGAACAATGAGATACGAGCTCAAGATAAACTTTTCACTAGGAGTACTTTTATGACTATTATTTATTAAAATGCACTTCACCAACAACAACCTTATTTTTTAATTCTTAAATTAATGCAGCATTCTACCAAACTTCACACACTATCAATATCAGGCACAACCTTTAGGCATTAGGATGAAATAACAAGTATTATTTTCAATACAATGTAAACAAAAAAATTTTACTTACCAAACTCAGAAACATTAAAGAACAAAGAACAATGCTATTGTAGACTTTTGTATTTTTCTTACTCATGAGATGTAATTAAAGAGATGGTTAGCAAGTTTAAATAAAAAATATTTACAATCTGTATCCAACAACACTTGTACAATATGGGATGTAGAAAGTTAAGATGCAGTTGTATCAAATATTGGTTAACATACATAGCACATATCAACATACAGTGACCACTTCTAAAAAACATACATACTTTTTCATTCTTTTTTCCAACTAAGAAGTTTTCCTTTTTTTTTATTACTTGGTTCATATATGAAGCCATTAGAAGTTGTGCAAGATTATTTCATAACACAAATTTTATTTCTCAGAATGAATAGATTTGTTTGGTTTCAATTTCACCCAAAGTTACATCAAGACTATCTGCACTAGCTGTCCCTGATAGACTAGAGGGAATTCAGCTAGACAAAACTACCAACCACCAGCTCTTGGGTAACTCTTTTACTAATAAATAGTGGTACTGACCATCACATTATAATGCCTCACAGCCGAAAGAGCAATCATACACTTATTTTCTACGATATTGGTCTCAAAGTGATCAGTTTCAATTTTTTTAAATAATCTCAGTAGAAGTCACATGAAAAAAAATATATATATTTTAAATTTATTGTGTTATGTTAACTTAAGTCTTATACAGATTAACAAAATTTATGTTAAAATTCCAATGCAAGCAAAGACAAAAATCTTACTCTTCCACAAAACTTCCACTCACAAGTGAATATCTGATACCTTCTGTACCATATAATCCCATATCTTTATCAGTGGCCTACAAGAAAAATTTACACATTAAGAACTATTAGTAAATACATTATCAAATGATATACAGCGTGGGACAAAAATAACTACACAGAACAGTTTAATTTCAAACATCTTACTATGAATGAAAAAATAATTAAATAGGCTTTAATTGTGTTCATATGTTCTTTAGTAGCAAAAATATAATGCCAAATGCATCAATTGTATGATAATGTAAATCATAATTATATAATATATATCATAATTAAAAAAAAAAAACTTTTCACATGTGCAAATTTGAGATTAAAAACAACAACATATACTTCTTGACAACTTACTTAATGTATTTCTTTTCAGTAACAAAGCTTCATGAGCATTATTATTATAAAATATAGTTTTGTATAATTTTTGAGACTTTGAGTACTTCATCCTATAATTTAAAATATACACATGAAAAACCTAATAAGCAATGCTTCCAAATTTTATTTACAACCATAAAACGTTAGGCCTAATGCTGCTATAATTACATATAGAAAGCACCTTAAAAAAATCAAATCTCGGAGGTTTCCAGAAGTAATTTAAGTGGCAGCATGAAAGTTATAATTGCATTTACTCAGTCAAACAATTACTTGGATTATGAAATGTCTCCAGTCTGATGTTGCTCACAGGCAATTTTGCAAAAATGGGACTACTACATGCAGTGTGTGTACAAACACACATATATAAATATATACATATTTTGAACATACAGAACTGCAATACCTCCTGAAATGCATGAGCAAAGGTTTTGACAGTGACATTTAAACTCAAACACATGTACAGTATATACAAAAGTATAAAAAACATATATATATATATATGAAATAGTGTGAAGTACTGTAATAAGAATGTATCATGACCTAAATTACAAACAGAAATTAATGAAGTGTGCAAAGAGTTGGTCCATTAGAGAAGGAATGCTTTATTGAATTTCAAATTTGCTACATGTATTAGGTCATCAAGAAATTAATGTCGCAATTTGGAACACTTTCATTAACCCAGAAAACATCATGTATAATAGTTAAACGAACCACTTAAATGTCACATTAGTGTAGCCTATATAATGTGTAAATTTTAGTATACTCTAATCCTTTATAGTGATGGCACATGATGAGACACATTTGGCATGTAATGCTGTTTGAATACAAAAAAAGAAACAACATCTCTGTAGCTACAAAGAATATCAAAGTTTATACAAATGTTGTGAACATTTGTAAGTGT